CTTAATTTCATTTTTTTTCAAAAAGGTCAACGTAGCTTTGTTTTAGAGTTAAGAGTGTGAAATCTAATTTTTTTTTTAGCAAATAAAGATAGCATAATATACCTGTTTCATAGTAAAGACAGCTGAATATGAGGCAGAAGGGAGGACTGAGTGAAGAGTGACAGGTGATGTGAGGAGAGGAGATGTTTAGTGATGCTAAGGTGGGGAGTGATATAGTGTTAACACTGAGGTGATATAGTGGGAAGAGAGGAGATAGCAAGCAGGGGGTAGGTTTGTGACTAAATGAGTATTAGAAGAGCAAGAAGCAATCGTTATCCCTCTTAATCACGGGGCTGTGGACTTCAGCCTCCATTATTACTGCTTATTAATGCAAATGAACTGGTTCGTCTCAGTTCGTCTCACTGCAACTCCTCGATGGCATTAATTCTTAAATCCTGAGGGTCTTGGTCCCAAACAAGACAGCTCCCATAGCCCTCTCATTTGAGACAAAGAAGGTAAAGAGGAACTCTTTTCTGAGACTTCTGATACTGGGGGATGAAATCAAATTGGAGGGAATCCATCCCTTCCTTAGACTAAAGAAGGCAGGAGGGATTTGTTGCCAGGGACCGAACTAATAAAATCAGTCAGTTTTACATTTTACCAAAATTACCTCTGACACATGGGTTTTATAGTTGGGCTTATTCTGTCAATAAATTTTTCATGGAAAGTTAGGTTATTTAGATCAGTGAGGTTCACATAGCATACTCCAGCTGTAATATGCCAGCTAAATTGCAACCCAGTGGCTTGAAAGAATTAATTCATCTCCCAAAATGTGAAATTAAATCCTAGGGAGTAACATTACATGACTGATGATGTACTGAATTAAATTAAAGGAAGACTTGAATGCTTGTTAAAAAAATATCGCTTACATAAACTAGTTTATAACCACATGTGAGCTTCCTAATGGATCATGTTGTTGTGAATCCACCATAACAAAAATCCAAAAATGTGAACTATTAGAGAGTTGTTTAATTTAGGAGAGAAACGCTGTGTTGTTGTATTCCTTTTTCCTCTTTTTGACATGTCAGGTAGCTCAGTTTTTAATATTATGTTACGAGATTAAGCTGGGATTAATAACTTAAAAATATCAATATAAATCTCAGATCCTTTATCTGAAAATAGTAGCTTTGTCTTCCACACAGAATATGATTAACTTACTAACCTACTAGAACTAGGAAACGAAGCATCACCGCACGCTCGCCCTCCGACCCTGAGCCTTCCCCGCAGTCGGTGGCGTGACCGTTCACTCCTCTCTCCTGCATCAGTGGACGGTGTCCATTTCACTTTTCTGAAGTGGAGATCTAAATGGCCCTGTGTGTGACTCTCCTCCAGCCATCCTGAGGTGACCTGGGCTCTTTAGATTCACTGAGGCCCTGGAGGCAGAAGCCCCACTCTGTGGCACCTCCAAACAGGAAGACAGTTTTCTCCTCCACCTTCATCAGAGACTGCCCTTCTTCCATGGCCAATCCTATTATTCACGCATCAAATGTGCTCATGTTTTATTTGGATTTGGGACTTAGTGCAAGGGGACTACGTCATAGCTCCTAAGGCTCCTGTGGGAAAGAGGATGACAAAGTAGGGAAACGAGGGCGAGGGAAGGGGCGCGGG